CAAGGATTGACTAAGTAGTGCTATTTATAGTGGAGGATGGAGGGCATAAATGTGATTGAAAGTCAGATAACGGCTGGGATGATGGAGATGGACGCGGAGAGAGAGAGAGTGGGTTGAAATAAGCGCCTATGAGCGCCTAACCGTTCATTACCCGTCGGAAATGAAAGAATCAAGTCTCTCGCTCGCACTCATCTCCCTCCTTTCCAACTCTTTATTATCCTGGATCTGCGCGCTCAAGCTGAGAGCCAACTTTGAACCTTCGGATGAAGAAAGGTTCTATCCAGGAGGAAGTAGAACCTGAGCCTCTTCACCGTAACCATCACACTGGGAATTCGAACTCAAACACGTTGAACTCTGCGAGGATCCATTTTCCTAATACCAATAATGTCAATGCACATGAACACCAGCAGTCAACTCCCAATAAGTCGCATTATAAGACGAGTACCATCAGTAACGCTGCAAGTCTAGGAGGGAGTTCGATGAATTCTAGCAGTTCTCGAAGGAGAGTAGTCTCTGTCGATGCTGGGAATGCGTATGGGTCTTTGGGGGGTGGAAGTAGTAGGAATGGGATAGGTGGGATTGGAAGTGCTGGACTTGGCTCCACGGGCAGGAGGATACCTACAGTGAGCATGGGAACGTCCTCGGGACCTGGATTTCAAGCTGGCAGACGGGTGGCTTCGGAGAGTAAAGAGCCCAGTAGTAAAGACATTCAACATGACTCATCTTCAGTAGATTCAGGATGGGGAGGTATCGGAGCGTTTTCGGATGAGTATGATTTATGTGAGTTAACTAGTGTTTTTTTGTTCTGACTTTATGACTACTCATTGACATCCCTCTTATGTTTGAATCTTTCATTTTGAAAACTTACCAGCTCACGAAGGCAGGTTTCCATTCACTCGTCGGATGAACATATGGACATAACATGAAAATGTAGACCCCAAAATCTTACAAGACGTCCAACGCGCGCTCAAGCTCAAACAAAGACGCGAAGCCCGAAGGAAATCTGGTCACCCTTCCGGATCACCTAGTGATAGACCCTCGTCTCCTCTCAGATCGAGTATATTACCGGAATCGAGCAGTGGGATATCTCATCTAGGTCATTCACTACCTACTGCCACTGTCACTCCCTCCACCTCAGTACCCACCGCACCTTTGACGACGGACATCGACTTTAGTCCCTCGACTGGTCTTTCCACTTCTCGTTCCTTGAAATCGCAAGAACAACAACAATTACAACAGCAGAAGGAACAGCAGGAGAAAGAGCAGAAAGAACAAGAACAACAGCGAGATCGAGATCGAGAACGACGAAGAAGGCTGTTACATCCCATACCTCTGTCCAGCGACGGCGGCAAGACGTTGGATTGGTCTGGTTCTGGGTTTGGTGATGAGGATGAGAAGGGTGAAAGGACTGATTCGAAGGGTGACAAGAGGTGGTCGTTGAGTGTGAGTGTTTCGAGGAAGGGAAAGGAAAAGGAGAGAGAGAGAGAGAGAGAGAAAGAGAAAGAAAGAGAGTTGGCACTACTGTTACCGAATGCAGAGGAATCGAAGAGACAAGAAGAAGCGTACATTGGTACGTCGATATTTCCTGCCACTACCACTTGCCTCATCTTAATATTCATTTATCCTCAGTCAAACTCTCTAGAATAAAGACCCTTTCATCTCAGTCGACGAGCAAGAAAGTGGCTATCACGGCTGATCAACTTGGGAGGCGATACAATCTGATATACGGCTCCTTTGGTTTTCCTCCTCCTCCTCCTTCTTCTGCATCTGCACCCGATGAATCCGACACAATCACCGCTATATCTATATCCAACACGCAAGGATTCAACCTCCTCAGAGTATCCAAATGGTACGCCGGACAAGATAAACTCGTTCGTTCGTCGTTGGAAAATGCGGAGCCGTTCATCTGGTTGAAGCATTTAGAGAAAAGGAAGCATCATATAGAAGCAGGAGAACTTGTAGATGTTAACAAGGACGACGGGAATCACACTACAGCCACCACTTCTCGACCACCCTGGCATATATCTGCGTTGATAATGGAAGAATACGTTCACGCCCAGAACGCCAAGGATCGTCCTCAAGCCAACCTTCCGCCTCCCGCTCAAATCAATCCGATTCGACCTATGGGTTCTATACCCGAACATCCGCTCTCTCCGCTCGATGAACAATCACAATTACCGGCACATCCGTTCATAATACCCTCAGGGTACTCCACTCCTTCCGCTCCTTCAGCTTATTCCCCTCCTTCGATTTATTCCAATTCCACTTACTCCCCTCCATCGACGTACTCTGCTCCCTCTGCTCCGTACTCACCCAATCACAACTCACCTTATCCTCAATTCGATTCTGATTCTCGTTATTCTCCTCGACAATCACAAGCTCAGATTGAAGCAGGTCGAATATCCTTTGAGCCTATTCTTGAGCCCTTATCGGCGTTGACATCGGTACCGACGGCCCAGGAACATCACTCTTCTAGATATCTCCAACCTCCTTCGGCAGCGAGACCGTCGAATGAATCGAGAAGGAGCTTGGAATCGACGTGGAGTAGTATATTCAGTAATTCCAATGTGAATGATAGTACATCTACTGCCGTACGAATAGAAGGAGGAGATGGCGGGGTAGGCGGAGCAGCGGCAGGAGCGACCAGTCCCACAAGCCCTCAAAGTAGACGAAGCAGTATGAGTAGTCGGGTTCATATCCGGGATAATTTAGGGTTGAAGAGGAGGCCGATGAGTCGTCAGGGTACCGGCGGTACTGGTGGAGGAAGTGACGATGGGAATTTATCGTCTGAAGCGAAGGGACCTTTAGCTGCTGAGCAGAGTGATGTCGGTGAAGGTGGAAGGGGAGGGATCGATCATTCCTTCGCTCACGTTGAGGAAGCTGAACCCGGACTCCAACACCAACACCAACACCCAGAGGACGTCGTCGCTGCAGCCCCTGGTGCACCTGCTACGAGTGCTACAAACGTCATATCTATATCACCTACTCAAATTACTGGTAGTCGTGATTCGGGTACAGGTTCGATGACCTTGCCGCGAACACAAGCAGCTCCCTCAGATCGTAACCTCCATTCTCTCAATCCCTTCCATCCCCTGCAGTCGCTCCGGCTCCGGAACAAAGGTTCTTTACCTACACGGAGTGGTACAAAGGAGGAATTGGCAATGGAGATGAAGAGGAGACAGGAGAGAGAGGAGAGAAAGGAAGCGGAAGAGGCGAGGGAAGATATGGAGTACGAATTGAAAGCTCAGTGGGTGCATCGTATTCCACTCTCTATTGATTTTTGATCTTTTTCTTTTTCTACAGACTCGTCGCCTCATGCAAAGATTCGAACACCCACATCCGCTCCGTACTGAATCACATCGCGCAGCGTATGCGCGAATACGAACTGTGTCAGCAGAGTTTTAGAGAAAACCACCATGAAGGCTCAGGAGATAGATCAGATCTAAGCAATCTCAACCTCCCACACGAACTCCTGGAAGCCTTCAGCCATGACCCAGCAAACGTGACGAGCTCGACGAAGAGACTTAAATCTTATAGAGCCGTAGATGATATTCATCATCGACTGTTGAAGCAGAGGGCAGTTTTTAGAGAGTTTTTAGATCAAAATCAGACTAGTAACGGTACCAGGAGCGACGCTGATGATGAAGATATCCTTCAAGACCCCATTGATTCCCTTCTTCGCACCTTGAAAGAACTAGAAGACCATCGGTTGAGGATTGTGGACAAGGAGAAGGAGGTTTCGGAGATGTTGAGGGAGACACAGATCGTTCATGCGGAGGTCAAGAAGGTGTACAACGACACGTTGGTCCATACGAGTGTTGTTTATCCCGAGGTGATCAAAAGAAATATTTTTCTAATACAATGTAAACTTAATTCTTCATCCAGCTTTCTCAAATAACCGGCCTGGAAGAAAGCTACAGAGACCAATACCAACACCTCTGGGACCTCGGCATGTCCTTCCTCACCCTCCTCCTCGACACCATTACCCCCTTCTGGCGCACGTATGGTAAAGTCATCGGAGACGACGTTCAAGATTTTCTCATAATCCCTCTTTACCGACACGAGTTTACCGGCGAATCGAAACGGTACCCAATCAAGCGTGTACCGAAGAGGTCAGTCAGGCATTGGATCGGATTGATGCTTTTATTCGTGGGGAGTGTCGGCTTGGTCGTCGTACAGGGGAGGGCGGCGGTCGTTTGCTCGCTGAATTGGAGGTTGGATAGGGGATGGGGTGGGTTGACGGGATTGTTGGGAGATGGGAGGATGAAGAGGATGGCGGATGGCGGATTGGTGGAGGAATCTGGATCTGGATTGGGATTGAGGTGGGCCAGATGGGGGATGGTTATTCCGGTGTGGTGGATGATAATTTTAGGGCAGTGGTGTGCGGTAATTGGGGAGTTGGCGGTGGTGTTGATGCAGGTTGGGATGATGTTGTGGTGGTTTGGCTGGGCGGTAAGAGTACTGGATTAGGTGGTTTTTTTTTCTTTTTTCTGGCTTCATTAGTTTTCTCTCTCTCTCGCATATTCACTGGAACATCAATACATAGTTTCTCTGTCGTTAAGTTATCCTTATAGTACATATGCTCTCCTTACAGTTCTATGATTTTATTATCGCTATCGCATTGCTCTCAAATCCATCATCCATTAGTACTACATAACACGGTGGGATTGTGAAAATCGAGGAGTATTCAATTTTGATTCCTGAATTTACCACGTACATTGGGGTAAAACTCAACAACATTGAAAAATTGCATCGCTCAACCTAGGAACAGCACAGACAAAAAGCTCGCAAAAAGAACACAAACCAGATTGAAAAATTCCGACACGGGGAATCGAACCCCGGGCTATCGCGCTACACGAATTGAGAGGCGATAATGTTAGCCACTACACCATATCGGATTAAAAAGGGGGTTTTGTTTATGAATACATTTAGGTCGGCAATTTGACAATTGTCATTCTGAGGCTATCAGATTACAAAGTGCCTTTCAAGTTGTACCTATTGCCCGCCTAGCTCAATCGGATAGAGCGTCAGACTCTTATGAAGCCAAGATAACGATGTAGGCTATCTGAAGGCTGCGAGTTCGACCCTCGCGGTGGGCTATAAAGATTGAGTATTTTTGGCTCACATACATTTTTTGTTCCTTGTTTACATATAGAAGAGAACAACGGTAGTTTACAGTAGGAAGTTTCTTGACCGGGTATCTTTATTAAGAATTTGGATATCATAATTTCTTAAAAATGACACAGAATTTACGCGTCTCTCGAAAAGTTTCTGATATCTGAAATATTCGGTATTTCTCACTAGTCGGTAAGGCAAAGCACACCTCTGTTGAAATATGTTGTACATACTATTGAGTGTTTCTCATGGCTCTCTGCTTTAGATTGGCTTTAGAATTTCATGGATCCAGTAGAGCTCAACTGATATTTCATATGCCATCTTAAGTCCCACCAAATTCAGGAAAAGCTCATTGGAATGAAGGTCAGTCCTGCATCTGCAAATATGAGCGAAATTCAAAAGGCTGTCTATTATACAAGTCTGCTTTATTGATGGTGGTGTGCTGGGATTCTGGTTGTCAAACTCTACTTTTGTTTTCTACTGCTCAAGGTCGAAAAGGAAGGTCTGCGATTATCTATACATCTTTCGAAACTTACAATGTCCAATTCAAAACCTCGACTGACAGTTTTTTTTTGACAAGTGAGAGGCTATTCCCCTCTCTCACTCAAGTCTGAGAAACATGATCAGTGTCGCTTGTAAAGACAATGTCTACCAGGCCAACAGCCAACAACGATTTCCTCAGCTCTACCCGGGAAAAGGTACCAAGGATTTCATTAACATGGTCAAGCTGACATACAAGTACATTGCAAACACCAATAATTTTATAATCTTGATCAATCAACTCGAAAACTTCAACCCCAGAGATGCAGATGTGCATTCGCAGCTCCGCCGAGATACCTTTCACCCGACACAGGATGTTCAGCCAAAACCTTCTCGATGGCTTTGATCTCTTCACTCGTCAACTCTATATCACCTGCCTCCAGGTTTTCCAGAGTACGTGTGGCTTTGCTACCGATTCAAAAATAAAAAGCAATGAGACTGGGAAAGAGAATTGGGGAAAACCACGTACGATGATCCAGGGAGAGGAATCATAGTCGGGCCGAGAGCTGCCACCCAAGCAATGCACAGCTGTCCCGGAGTAATGGAAGGCTTTCTGCTCTCTGCAATTGCTTTCAAGCCTTCAACAATGGCCAGATTGGCCTTGATATTATCCTCCTTGAAACGGTCGAACCTAGCGCGGAAATCTCCCTCTGTCGAAGTTCAGACATGTTAATCATTGATACTCATTCGTAAAACAACAGAAGCAGATTGTGGAAGGAAAAAAAGTTGGTTTGTCTGTTGATCAAGGGAAGTATTGATAATGATTTGTGTTCTAACTTACCTGGAAGATCTGTAGTACTCTTGATAGTTCCTGTGAGAAGCCCATGTCCGAGAGGAGAATATGCTAAAACGGCCACGCCCAACTCGGTAGCAGCTGCGATGAGATCTTTCTGTTCCTGTCCATACTCCCATGCACTGACTTCCACTTCTACGGCAGCTACGGATCCGGGATAGAGCTATGAAGCATGACAGTTAATATAATCGAATAAAGCATACTGAACGCTTACTTCGTAAGCTTTCCTCAAAGTACTCCCTTTACATTCCGATAAACCAATATGTCCGAATTTTCCTTCATCGCGTAGAGTAATCAAGTTACTCATGATTGTCTCGAACGGCACCTTTGGATCGATCCGGGCTGGCTGGTACAAGTCGATCTTCTTGTTAGGTCCAAGTGCTTTCTGACAATTATTCACGCTGTGTTGGAGATACTCCATCCTAGTAAAGATTAGATGGTAGATGCAACGGTTAAGAACCTGCAAGATTTCGGAAAACAATATTGACAAACTAACGATGAATCAGGCATGATTAACCCTTTACCATCCGGTTTCATGGCGCCTTTTACAGAGAGAAAGGTCTTCTCCGCGTATTCAGGGTACTTTTCAAAGAACCGAGAGAGCAACAAGAGGTTTCCGATGCCCCAGGTCTTGTCGTAGAATTCACCTTCAGTTACACGGAAGAGGTGTTAAGATCACACTTTGTGGATTGAAGGAAGGTACGTAGCGTTTCTTACCAGTATTCAAAAACATCTTCACTCCAGAAGGAAGGGCATCAACTCCTGCTTTGATAGCCTCGAACGCTTGCTCATCGCTGACCGCGCTGTGTAGCCACGGATAATGCGATGGTTAAAAGGTTGTCGCAACGATGAAGAGATCGGGTACACACGTCAGGAGCATCAGCCCATGCTATGTAAGTCTAGTCAGTGAAAGACTCAGATGGAAGGTAGAACGAGAACCAACAGCAACTTTCCCAACAGCGATGTTCGAAGCTGAACCTCCTAGCTTGACTGATTGAGAGACCATTTTTCTTTCAAGGGTGTTTTTTCGAATGTGATGGAGGATTCTTTCTCGACTCCTTGTCTTTTATACTTTGTCTTCAATGGTTCTTGATTCACAGTGACACTGGCGTGTGCACTCGGCGGGGTTGTCATTTGCATGATCAATATTTCCGTTTGCCGAGAACTCTGACCAGGGATACATTGATAAGCCAAGGGCGAGCGATCGCAATCTTCGGCAACAGTCGGACCAAAACGCTATCACGAGGTTGTTCTTTACTTTGGGATTGATTTTTAAGATCCGATTAATACTTCTCTCGCAATTCTCAAAACCAGGGATACGAAGCGTAAGGTATCGCTCACCACGAACAGCATAGTCAGCCAGCACTTTTTCAATAGGTTTAATCTCTTCATTCGTCAATGTACATCGCTAGCCCCCGAGGTTCTCGCTGCCTTTGCTTGTAAATGAAGATCGAATATAAAACACACGATGATTCAGAGAGAGGTAATGGTCGGGCCAAGAGACGCTACACAATTGCCCTGCGGTGATGGAGGATTGCGATTGCTCTCAGTTCTCCGGCAATGGCCAAATTTGGTATCCCTCTTCGAAGCAATTGGATCTGGCGCGGTAATCGCCCTCTGGATTACTTCTTATTCATCACAGTAGCTGGAAGATTCGCTTACCTGGAAGACCATCTGCAAAACTCTTTGTAATAGTGACTGTGAGTAACTTTTGTCCTAGAGGTGAATGTGCTAAACCAGCGATGCCCAGCTGTGTATTGACTGCAATAAGATCTTTCTGTTCCTCTCCGTATTCCCATGCACTGAGTTTGACTTCAACGGCAGCTATTGAGGACGTGACATATTCATGCAGATAAAACAACTTCGAAAACGTGGACTTGCAGCATGTGCCTTTCTCAATGTACTCCCTTTATATTCCGACAGGCTATGTCCATACATTTGCATTCGTTGCGGAGGGTAATCAGGTTATTCATGATGGTTTCAATTGGAAAATCAATCTGAGCTACCTCGTATAGATCGATCTTCTTGCTGGAACTAAGGGCGTCACGGTTCTGACAGTTGTCCACACTATGTCGAAGGCCCTCTATCCTACAGATAATGATGACAGAGATGGAAGTGAGTGAGCTACTGTGGAATGAACACTCACGATGAGTATGACATGATGCGCCCCGTTACTATTCCTCTTGGGTAGCAACCTTCATGAAAAGGAAGGATTTCTCTGCGTAATCTGGGTACTACTTCTCGTACAATCGAGTAAGTAATCAGTTCCTGAGGCCCCGGTTCCTTCGTATGATTTAGCTTCGTAGGGATACCTAAAGTTGATAATTGCACGGACTCACCGGATTTGATAGTTTCAAAAACTAGCTCGTCGCTGATCGGATTAGACGATCCTCTGAAAAGCGGAGTTGGTAGGTTATCGGTTTTCTAGTAAGGATGAACCTCGCGCGTCATGGTCATTGAGTTATGTTATACAATGTTGAACCCGATTAGCTCAAGGATTGGACTCGGATGAGAGGTGGAGACTGACAGCAACCCCGACCAAATAGTATATGTTTGAAGGCTGAACGTCATTTCACTGAGCTAGAGCTTCAAGTGTATGTATGGTACCTGCCTCAAACTGGAACAGACCCAATCGTGGAATCGTTTCGAATAATTCTGCCTCATATCACTGACTCCATGGCTGGAATCACTCCCCAAGTTGACATCAGTATGGGACATCAATCCTTGTAAGAAGCAAGATCAGTTGGCATAGTACCTGCGACTCAATGGGACAGCAACTGGCTCAGTATGTTACTCAACTTCGACTTTACGGTCCTACGATGAGGACGAGGTCCGCACACAAGTGAATCATATCTGAATTTTCAATTTTTGACCCACTGTAATATCTTGCCCAGGTTAAAATACGAGAGCACTACCTTCTTCAGAGACGCCACTTATTCCAGTAGTCAAGCTTCAAGCCTTGGCTGATGGGCAACTTAGAGCTTCTCATCGCTTGTCAGTCTCTATCAGTTTAACAATGATTCTCCCTTCTCCGCCACCTCACGATCTGGTACACCAGAAAAAGCACAACGCCAGCTCTATCGATATTAGACATTATGTAATCCATCAGTTTGCGCAATGATGCACATATTGGTATGTGTTTTCCCACGTATTCTGAGCGCCCTCGGGAGCAGGTTTCAGGGATGGCTCAGGTTCAATGGGCAGGGATGCAAAGCAAGCGCAGTAAGATTGTACAACTAAGAGAAGAATAAATGAATTGAAAAAAATGAATTCCTACAGCAAGTAATTAATGCCTGCCAGAAGCTGGCCGAACAGACACTTGGTTTGTTCATCCCTTTACTACTACATCTCATGTCTGTATTTTATAGTTATATGAATATCTGCCACGTTTGCTATCAGTGATCGTTTCCCTGGTTCTCCCATGCTGACTTGAGTCTACACCGCCCACACTGTTGCGTTCTCGCTGCTCCCACGAAAAACTCGATGTGACAAACTGTGCAACTGTCATTATCTCTTCACAACTTCTACCTCTGCCCTCTGCCTCTGTTCCAAAACCTACCAAGATTCACCCGACTATACGCAGAACCTCACCGCCAGTCGATTCAAGAAAGTGCGCATCGGACCCAAGGGAGAAAAAATCGTTGTTCGTCG